AAGTCTTGAACATTACCTACGCATGCATTTTTTCATTTGCATTTACAGGATGGGATTGAATACATATGTTGATATGTATGTACATATGTATATTTGTATGTATGTAGTAAGCGCGTTTGCTTGGCTGTTCAAATTTTTGATTGCTACGATTTCCAGTACGAACTGACCACTCAGCATTTTAATGAGTTTTTTGATATGAAGTCAGTAAATATGTAAATATTATGTACATAGGTGTAGGTATGTACGTACATACATACATATATATGTAGACATTGACTAAAATCAAATTCAGCAAAAAAAAAATATTGTATTTTATATAAAATTTCTGGAAGAACTTCAGCAGGAGCAGCTGCGGGGTTTCAGCTGGAAAAAAGAAAAAGTACAAGTACAATATTTCGACCAGATTTGTGTAGTTTTAAATTTTAACGGGCTGATAAGTTTAAAATTGATTGGTACAACCGGACTTGAAACTAAGAAAAAACATGTAAATTCAAATTGTGTGCAAAAATTAAAAAAATTCCACGAATTTTCATCCCAGTTCCAAGCATTTTAACTAGAATTTCTAAATGAATTTGTGATATGCAGTTTATAGCTCATTAAATTCTAGTACAATAAAGTGCAAGTTTGAAGTTGCTAAAAAATCGCGTCGATCTTTGATGTTTGATGCAGAAAACTTCAAAAAAGTGCAACAAATTTTCACCTAAGTTTCAAACTTTTTTCTCGGAAGTGTTAGAATTTTTTTGAGTACACAGTTTTTTAGCCACTGCAATTTTAGTCTGATAATGTGCAACTTTCAAGTGGCTACGAATTACCGTTAATTTTTTTTAATTTTTTTTGTCGCATTAGCTTCCTTCCATATAATGAATAAACTCAATTTATTTGTATATGGAAGAAAACCGCAACATCCTTGGCGAAAAAAATTCTAAAAAATCAGCGGCAACTTTTAGCCACTTGAAACTTGCACATTATCAGACTAAAATTGATCGGGCTATAAAACTGTATGTTCAGAAAAATTCAAACACTTCCGAGAGAAAAGTTTGAAATGTAGGTGAAAATTTGTTGCACTTTTTCGAAGTTTTCTACAAATTGTTAATCTTGGGTTTGTATGGGGTTTGTTATAGAAAGAACTGTATTTTAATTGAAAATTCTCAAATATAAATAAATAAACATAAGTTGCACACAATATCACTTTGAAATGGCGTGCTATAGATATGACCGATACTGTACATATATGTAGGTAGGTGACTCAACAGAGATAAGACGATGCTGAATTAAATGAAACAAAAGGCTGCCCATGCGTATGCGCATATATAAATATAGTACCCCCTCGGTAGTCGAGACTGATTAAAATCAGTCGTTGTTGCGATTACCGAATATCTTTTATAATAAAATAAAAGAGAAAATTTAATAAAAGGTCATATTTGGTTTGGAATTCACTGTAATCGGAGACCGATATAAAGCAAAAAATTTTAGTTATTTTTTTTTTTTTACTTTTATTATTTTGAGCAAATAATACCGATTACTTCTGCTTTTTTATTTTTTTAAGGCTAAAATAAATGTTAAAATTTGCCTTTTATTTTTTTGAGCAGAAAATTGTCGGTAATTTTTGGCTTTTATTTTTCCAGGCAAAAATAAAAGTCAAAGTTTCAAATCAAGTATTCCAGAGTTGTGTATATTCGAGTATGATAGTTTTGAAGCCCCTATCTGGATTCTAATAACCCCCTAATACACAAATACCAGGGTTAGATCAAATATAAATATGTATGTATGTATATGTTATCGGTCTCGGATTGTAATACATACATACTTTGTTGTAACGAGACACAGGGCCGTATGCATAAAACCTTGGCAAATGCTTTTTCTTAAAATTTCAGAGCAGTTTAAGCTTAAAAAATTTGCAGAAAAATATTTTTAAAAAAAATGTTCAATGGAATCACAGTAATGAGATTTTTGCTGCTGTTTTTAACTTATTTCGAAGATCTGTTTAAGAAAAACTTGAAGAGCTGGGCCAAACTTTACCGACATAGACTTGTGAGGTAGGAGTGGAAAGGTATTTCCTAGCCTTTTTATTTCATATACCAACACATCTTAATTCCACATGGAATGTGGCTCATTTTGTCTTACCTTTCTTTTTCATGCTTTGAATGAGCTTATTTGCAAAGAAATAAAAAGGTTGAGGAAATTCTTTTCCAATGATACTTCATAAGTCTGAATCGATAAAGTTTAGGCTGAGGTTTTCTTAAAGCAGTCTTTGAAAAGAGTTCAAAAACAGCATCAAAACTCTCATTACTGTGATTCCGTTGAAATTTTTTTTTCTGCTCATTTTTAAACTGACCAAACAGTATCTAAGGTGATTTTTTGCAAAAAATACTTTAAAAAACTGTTTTTATTCACAAAAAAAATCAATTTTTTGGAGGTATTTTCAAATCAGTCCAGCTGACGTAAATCTTAATATTCTTCCGAAATATTTCGGTGAAAGTCTTAAAATATAATAGATTTTATAATTCCGGTGGAAAAACAGTACCGATTTTTTTTTTTTTTTATGGGGAGTGATGCAGTTATTGAATTATATATAAGCACAATAATAAACCGAATCTTGATAAACTACAAACGCAAAAACAATGGGAATTCCCAATTTACTATAAAGGATGAGCTCTGTAAAAATTGCAGTCTTAACATTCCTAGTAGGTATGTACATAAATACATGTATATGTACATATGTATATACTATCCGATAACATCAATTGTTTATTGAAAGAGTGTGTTTGGAAATCATTAAAACTAGTTTGTTAGTAGTATATATGTACATACATATCTACTAGGGATGCCAAAATATACGGAACAGTTTGATCTCGGTATTTCGGGATATTGTTTAAGTAATTCCGGGAGTAAAATTCAATAACTGAAAGCATTTAAAATTTAATATAAACGGTGTGTAAAAATCAGATATTTATTAATTTAGGTAAATTTTAAAGTAATAAATTTTTTTAATTGTAGGTACGTATTTAAAAAACCATGTGACTAAGGAACGCATACATCACAAATAACAATAGGTGTGTACTCGTATTGAGAGAACAAAAATTCTCCAGCAGAAAAAGTTCTGAGAATTTAGAAGCATTCGCTCTCAAAGAGACGAAATATCAGCAGAAGTACTTGCACAGTTGCCACTGGTGATTAATTTGGCAATTTATTTTCTGCTTGGTGCATTTTCACCCGATTTGGCATTTTATACAATTGAATCGTTTTGGATAAGAAAAACCTTTTTAAAAAACGAATTAATTATATCGGAATGAATAAGTTATTTTTCTCATAATTATTTCTGATATCACATGGGGACGCATTACAAACAAGAGTATCTCCTCCAAACACCCATCTTAGATCCAAAAAAATGTAAAAGAGTAAGTTTAAAATTATAAAATTTTCATTTCAACAATCAACCTACCAAAACCGAAAACTTCAGCAAAAAACATTTCAGCATGCTTCATTTAAATCTATTTTGGTATATTTAAAGGAAAATTATGGTACAAACGAAAAATGTCATACGGCAACCATAGTCAGCACGCACTAAAGTAAACAAACTGGAGATTAATAGCAAATTAACGAAAAATACACTCAACAAACGTTGTGCTTATTAAATTTACGCACTTTTTAGTTATACACTAGCATTAATAATAAAATTTGCAATAAATAACTCAAAAAGGCCATATTTTCTTTTGTTTATTTACAAACATGTGTTTGTGATCAGCTGATTTTCTTACTTGCAAGTTTTAGCTGGGAAAAATCCCAGCAGAAATTTGCAGCTCTCCTTCACATTTCGCTCTCTCAATTTCCCCCACTTTGCAAGTTTTTTGGGTACGAGAACGCAAAACCAGTAAAAGTTTTCTAAAACTTTAGATAGTTGGGCGTACGAGTACACTCCTAATGTAAATACCAGGTACTTTTGAAAGTAATGATTAATAAAAAAAAAAACATTAAACAAAATTATTCAAAGACACATTCTCTAAATATGTTTATTCTACTCCAAAAAGATGTGCCGGGAGGCACAATTTACTCGAACTTTTGAGGGTGAACGGGTCACACGGACCCCAGATTCGGATTCAGCGGGTCAAAATACATAGCGGTAGGTGGGTCTGGTTAAAAGCAAACACCAATTTTTTTGTGTCGGTGTTGTTATTATTGCACTTAAAATATGTACGTAAGTGCAGCAAAGTATTTAAATTGGAGTCTTCTAATCTTGACCAAAACTTGATACATAAAAAACCTGCTGATGAAAAGCATCTTTCGGCCTCAAGACTTTAAGGCTGAACTGGTAGTCATTAGCCATTTGAAGATAATGACCCGATCTCCTCCATTACAAAATATTTGAACTTATTTTACTTACCATCACGTCGGATTAATTATAAATTTTTCGAATTGAGGAAGTTTGGGTAGATTGATTTATAAAATTATGTAACTTTTCCTTTAAACATTCTGTTTGGTTTACATTAGCGACTCTATGAGTACATTCATAAAAATCTTCCAAAAAAAGGCTCAGGCTGCAATTTAAAAAGTAAAGTTTCAAGCTTTTTGTTAACTGTAGTTAAAACGGCATTTTACAAAAATCATACTTCAAATTCATAAACTAGTTTTTACTAGGTATTAATTCGATATTTCAAATTTTTCGTGATGAATGGTAGCGAATCCCGGGATTTTCGGGACCTCAAAAACACCGGGATCCCCGGACCTCTAGATTGGTATCCCTAATATGTACCTATTTACTAGGTACAAGTTACACGGTCTATTAACCGCTATTAGGAAATAATTAACTATATTTTCATTTTTTTTTGCGACATTCCCATTTGCCTTTGCTAATGTCATCATATTGTATCTATCTAGCGAAATATTTGTTCAATCTTGTTCATTTGTCCTATTAATGCCAGCATTTCTACCAATATAATGCCACCACTACTTATGCATTTCATACACTGCGAATATTTTTTTCTTAATTGATGTTTACTCACCTGCAAACTTCCAGCGAATAGATTTGTCAGCACAACAGCAAATAGAAGATAATTATATCTTTGGGTGCCACATCTGCGTTTACTTTGTGTAACTTGCTCCATTGCAATCTTCACTCTCACTTTTTTGTTTTTTTTTTTTTTTTTTTTTGTACACAGAGTAGCCGCCGGTATTCTACTCGGCAGAAAATCTCCGCGGAAATCAGTATCGCCCCAATGTATATGGCAAATAAAAAATTTTAACTGCTCTCTTAGTAGGTGCAACGGGGGCCAGTACAATACACGAAGTGCATATAAATTCCATTAACTGCTATAGTAAATACATACATGATAAAAAAGGAAGGTTTTTTCACTTCGAATTTTTTGGCGGATGTTGGGATGTTTGAAGTAAGCTTACTTCATTTGTATTAAAAACCGGTTTATTTGCGAGGTTTACGTGTTTACGAGGCAATTAAGCGTTTAAATGAATACACATAATTTTTTTGTTTTTTCAGATGACCCTACAGAAGTTTAGTACGATATGCATACGTATTAAAAACATATATACAAACAAAAATGCAAATTTACTTTGCAATATATGTAGGAGATAATCGCATATTTTTATGTATGTATGTATATAGCATATATGTATATTTATATTAGACTACATCACTCCCCATACAAAAAAAAATGGTACGGTTTTTCCATTGGATTTATAAAATCTATTAGGTATATTTTAAGACGTCCACCAAAATATTTCGATAAATAATAAGATTAAGCGAGCTGGACCGATTTGAAAATACCTCCAAAAATGGAGTTTTTTATGAATAAAAATGGTTTCTTAAAGATGTTTTTTGAAAAAATCCCCTCATAATAAATTTTGTAATCCCGTCGGAAAAACCGCAACTTTTTTTGGTGATGCGGTCTAATGTATATACTATATACACATGTATTTGCGTTTATGGAATTGCTAGTCCTTACCCAGAAATTGAAAATAAATCTTATTTATGCTGTCTAAAAATAATTAAATCTTTTTATTTAAAAGATTCAACAAATTCGAATTAATGTCCTTCCCATAAAAGTCGTTTAACAATTCTGTATACCGGCATCCTAGCACAGGTATCTCGTGTATGTCTCCAAAGGCCGTTGAAAAAATTTAATGGAAAATTGCAATCTGGTAGCTATATTTCGATTAAAATGTCATAGTACCTCCAAAAGTCAAGTGGAACCATGATTCATGAAGTGGAACTACCTTCTTTTATTATATCATGTGTAAATATGTTTATACACTTGCCCAGCGCCCTGCCGTCAACACACAAACAAGATATATACATATATCCAACGCTTAATTTAATATAGTACTATTGTAAAATGCATGAACGATCTGCCTATGCACAATTTTTTATACTCTTATAAGTTTGCGTTTTTTTTTTCAGTCTTGAGGATGTGGAATGCTTCGCAACGAAATATAATTTTTTCTGTCCGTGAAATGACCATACACGAAAAAATTACTTGCATAAATCGATAATACGGTGCGGCTCGTCGAGGTCTCAATTTGCGTAGCACTCGTTAAACACTCCAAATATCAACTATATATAAGCGTTTGAAGGACTTTCCAAGAGTAGTATGTTTACACTTTTATAAAATTAATTTTCAATAACATTTTGCAATCAAATTGGAAAATAAAATCACAAAAATCACTGATTCCGCAATTATGAACCAAAGAGCAGCTTATAATCGAGACGTTTGCTTTTATCATACGAAACTTTTGTTCACCTTGCTTTTGTTATGAACAAATTCACCACAATTGCTGATTAGCTGAATAAAAACTGTCAAAGTCAGCGTTGCCATATTTTATTTTATTTATTTAGTAACGCTACGGCCACACATGCTACTTGTACGCTGCAAGTAAATAAAGCGAAGCGCACATTAGTGCAAATCTGACGTTGCGAATCCGCAGAACTAAAAGTTACAACAATGATAGTCATATACATATATCAGTGAGCTATCGCGCGCTTGCACGATTCTGACGCTGCGAGTCCGCAGAGCTAAAAATTACAACAATGATACCCATACATTGAGCTAGCGCACGCTTGCACGGCTTGCAATGTTTTGCAGGCGTCAAAGAAGAGAAAGAAAAGTACCATAGCAATATATACAAAGAATAAAATGTTTGATATGCAAAAACTAATAGAAAACGTTCGAGCAATCCTATTTTATATGAAATGGACACGCAGATTACAAAAATATAAACAAAAATCAAGTGTGTGCACGTTTGCGGATTCGAAGTCAACAGCCGAATTCGCACCTAATACTTATTATAATCGAAAAATTCGAAAACGGTCTGGTAACGGCAATTTGATAGTTTGACAGCTACAATTTCACTAGGGATGTCAGTGGCGAAATTAAATCGATGTTTTTCCTCGCGTCGATGCACCGAAACTTGCATCGATATTTGTCGATGCATCGGAGGGCGTACATCGTTGCATTGATACGCATAGAGTTTTTTCCACTATGGAAATAAAAATTACACAAAACAAATTTCAAACAATTTAACAAACTTTTATTTTAATTATAAATATACATATTATCGTGACTGAAACAAGTGTTCACGTGTTGATTTTTTTTATTTAATTATTCATTACGTCTTTAAAGTAAATATTTGTTATTAGTTTTTATAAAAATATTTTTAATGCATTAACCAAAACCATGTAACAATGTTTCAACTTTATAAAGAATTTAGAAACATTTTTGGGTATGCAGTTTTATAGCTCATAAACAAGTGTTCACGTGTTGATTTTTTTTTTTAATTATTCATTAATATTATTCACCGCTGGTCTTTTGATTTAGGGCAAGTTATTCATGGGTATAAATACCGTATACTTGGAGGACGATATCCGTCTTATTTATTCCTACCGACTCAGCTAAATCATACAGACCTCTTATACCATGTTCTGACCGACATCGAAAACATGTTTTCGTTGCTAAAACTGGTTTTCGACCTAAAACTTGTGTTTTCGTCCATGTAAAATCTGTCAAACGACAACTAGTGTTCGCTGAATTCCAATCGGTGTCTGCACTAGTTTTTTTCGATTATTTATTGAAGTGGAAGTCATATTTTATCATCTTTAATACGTCATTTCGGATTTATTGTTAATTGGCCGGTCAAAATAAAGTAAGCATGGAAGAAAAGGTTGTGAATGAAAAGAAATTGAAGGAAAAGTATTTTGGTTATGTTTTTGTGTAGCAAAATTGTAAACAAAGGATGAAAGAAATGTGAACGAAAACACCAACAGTCGGTGTGAACAGCCTTCAGCCCAAAATCCCAAAACTCGTTTTCAAGGTGTTTTCGTTGTCGGTCAGAACATGGTATTAGTTTAACTTCCTTCATCTTAAAGACCGTCGAATGTCTGCTAGACCTACATATTAGGGATGAGCTGAGACACGTAACGCAATCAGCCACATGCATAAGAGTTTAGCTTAATCTCAGACTCAATTTTTGCACTGATGAATTGAGCTAAAGCCCAAGAATTTTTACTGAAAATTGAGTCGGAGCTTAAGCTCACTTTTTATGCATGAGGCCCAATGACACAACAGTCAGTTTGCGTATGTCATAGGTAAAGCGACAGATTGCGCCCAACAGTGTTTGGTTGGCAAGGTCGAAAGCTCGAAAGGGACCTCGATTTTAAAGAGGTTGCTTTATGTGCCTTCTTGGACATCAAGGGATTTTTTAATAATACTTCCTACGAATCTATCTCAAAGGCACTGGGCCAACGAGGCATAGATCCCTCCACTTTCGGGTGCATCGACACCAAGCTCCGTGAGCGTAATATCACATCGTTCCTAGACAACATGGGGGTGTTCTTTCTCCTCTACTCTGGACTCTCGTCGTGGATAACCTCTTAACCAAACTACAGGAAAGTGGTTACGATGCTGTTGGTTATGCGGATAACCTAGTTGTTGTTGTTGTTGTAGCGGCTACAACAACCCCGCCCAGATCGGTTGGTATCTCAGTCGTTGTCGTCAAGTTCCACTAACGGCAACCCTAGGAAGCGTGCAGCTTCTGTGGGATCTGTCCACAGGGACAAGGCCGTTAGGGTTGTCGGGTTTTCCGAGCATGCGAAGAGATGGTTCGAGTCATGTGGGGTCTCTCCGCATGCCGGACATTCGTTCGGCACATCCTCATTCAGCCTACTCAAGTAGGAGTTTAACCTGCTGCAGTAGCCGGAGCGAAGTTGAGCGAGTGTAGTGCGTGTCTCCCGAGGCAGATGAAGCTCTGTCTCGTCAATGTCCGGGGGTGGTATGCCTAGAACGGCATTCACAGGTCTAGAGTCTACATAACTCGAGACTGAGTCCCTGTGAATGCCGTTCAGGGCCTGTCTGTACGCTGTCGGGTCCAGAGGTTGCTTAATGCTTCGTCCGTCAGTTCATATAGATGCCTCCTGACGTGCCTAGGCGAGGGCTCCTCTGCAAGCAGCTGTCTGTTCGGGTGGCCACTTCTGTGGCTCGAACACGGGGTCTAAAATCCAAACTAATAGAATGACTATACCGAACTATAGTCCATCCAATTGTAAGTTATGCCTCTGTAGTCTGATAGCCAAAAACGGTGCAAAAACTTCCGTTTCACGTCTGAACAAACTGCAATGGATGGCTAAACTGTCGGTGACAGGAGGAATGAGAACGTGTCCAAACGCGGCCTTAGAGCTGCGCCTAGGCTGGACCCCACTCCACATTTTTTCCAAAAAGTAGCAGCTCCGAGGAATTTGCAAATACAAAATTCTGACAGTACTTTTAAAAACAAGACACAACACAAAGTTATTTTGAGCAGTATACCAAGTCTAAGAATCTGCGAGTCGTCGACGCTATTCCAAAGGAAATATGCTTTGGAAGGAAATTTCTGGTAAAAATTCCAGACTACATAGATCTCAGATATGTATGTACACTGATATACAAACGGATCAAAGATGGAGGGCAGAGCAGGAGTGGGTACTAATTCTGGGTACCAGGACACTGCGGGATCGTGGGTAACGACTGTGCCGACGAATTAGTAAGGAAATGCTCATCGTCCGTACTTGTGGAGCCAGAACCGTTTTGCGGACTCAGTTGGTCTTCCTCGAGGCTTAAAATAGAATCGTTGGTATACTCATAACGCAGTACTGGAAAGAGGTAGGGGGTCTTAGACAGGGCATATTTTTTGGTTATCCCTTCGCTAGGACAGATATACATCTTCTGAACAGAGCCGATATCAAGTTGCTTGTTGGCTATCTGACGGGCCACAATCACATGCACTCTCACATGCACCGAATTGGTATTTCCACAGAGATGGATTGCTGAGGACACGTCGGAGCACATTATATGTGATTGTCCGGCATTAACCAGACTAAAACTGCAATGATTCAGTTTTTCCACAGTCGATGCCCTTCAGGGTAAGGAACCATTTATATGTATGTATATACATTTATGTATGTATGATTTGTTTAACAACAATTATTTTATATCGATGCTCAATACGTACTAAGCACTCTCTCGTTCTTTTGTATGAATTTTGAATTCAAACAATTTTAAAACTGTAACGGTCTTCGTAATTCAAACTATCAGCCATTAACATAAGCTTCCGCTACAGGTGCCTGGTATCTGTAAATCTCTTTGAAAAATGTATGTTTGCTCGCTATAACTCTTACCACGATTCTTTAACGTAAATGAGCACTGCGCTCCTCTCCCAACGAAGCCATATTTCTGTGGTCATAAGCATAAGTCGACTTAAGAAAGAATTTAGTTATATATGCTATCGTATATACCGCAACTACTATTCCATGTGTATGTGAAATCCCCAGCTCGCTAGCTAGGCTATTTAAAAAGTTATAGACGAATATATTTTGATTTCCCCATAAGGTTAACATTACAATCCAAATGTTTAAAATGTTTTATCTCGAATTCAAGCGTTTTTCAACATAGGCGGTTATTGCTTATGACCACAGATTTACATATGTAGTTACGTATGTGCATGTGAGCAAAGTATCAAATACATGCCTTTGTGGCAGCTCATTTGAGACTACAGCTAACAGCTAAGACCCGCTGAAAGCTTCTACCATTGGCATTTTGCGAGAATCTCCAATACCTTTCCAAGTTAACGTTCGCTTTGTTTGGTGGCAAAAATGCGCGGCACTGACGGAAATGGCAGTTCCGAGCGTATGCTTAGTTCACTTAGTACCTCGACGCGGTGAGAATACCGATAAAATACAAAATTTATTTAGCGCGCAAAGAGTAATAATACAAAAACAAAAAAAATGTAGTGAGTTGTGTGAGAAAGCCGTAATCACGTTTAAGCCAGGTATTAGTCATCGCCATGGAACAGACAATAGGTAGTGTAGATCAAGAAAATTGTAAATGAAGCGTTGATTTTCTTTGTGGTTGATTATAAAACGGGTAAATACAATACATATAATTAACAACAAATATATAACATATGTGTACATTACAATTATGTGTAAGCAGTGAGAAAATATAATCCCAGAACAAGTTTGAAAATGCCTCGTTACACAAAAACGAAACAGAAGCTGTTGCATTAAAATCAGTTCACGTCTGTGTTTCTGAGTTTTTGGTTCTTTTTTTTTTGCGCGCGTGTCATTGAAATAATGGGTAGCATTACCTGCATATATGATATACATACATAAGTTTACGATGCAACAATAAAGCGCAGATACGCAAAACCCCTTTGATTGATCGAAGCCTCGAAAAAAAATTTATCGAACTGAACTTTATTTTATCTATACAGAACATTTCGTATCTATGTACATACATAATATGTACATAAATACTGCGTGTCATCAATATCGCGTTTGTTTCCTGTGCTGTACATATGTATTTGTACATAGTACGTATTTATGTATGTAGTTAAAATATGTTTTTTCTTGTTTGGTAGCATTTAAGTATGAGTGTGTATATCTTACTTTGTGTTGCTAGCAATCGTACACTGTTGCTGATAATTATGTGTACAAACAATTTTTTTCTTTCACGGTATTTTTAATTAAAAGCAGGAAATACTCCGCTAAACTTGCAACTCCAATTTAATGGTGAATAAGCCTATCATTCCCCTTACCACTTCAGAAATACATATATGTATACACACATATGCCAAATATTTGCAGCAGAGAAGTAAAATTACACACAATTTTTGCTACTGAAGCCTGAATACATTTTTTTTTTTTTTAATTAAATATATCGTTACCTTAATTTATAAAGGCCCTAACCAACATTTTTTTCGAAACTGCGTTTTTCACATTTTGATGATATTAAATACAAGTAATTTTTGAAAAAAAAAACAAAACCGACTTCAAGTCTCATACATATATACATATATATATATATATATATATGATCGGATCTAAACCAGATTAGTATGGAACCACCTCTGAGACACTACCTTTCCGACGCAAAATGATTATCGAAATCGGTTGACGTGGTCCAAAGTTATGCGGTAACATAAATAAATAAAAAAATATTCCGACGAACTTCTTAACCTCCTCCTTTCTTGGAAGTCGCTTAAACATACACCTTCAATACAAATTTTAAAGTGATAGTATCAAAAACAGCGGAGTTACATGCAACTCTTTTAAATAGGGATTATTGATATTATTTTTATAACGTTTTTTGCTTCTCCTGTAAAATAGGAAAATTTGTTGGTTGGGGCCTTTGTGAATTGAGGTCACGATATGTAAATTTTATATATAGTGACGAACAAAAGTATAGGCATAGAGAATTTTTCGCACTACATATATGCAAAGTTTTTCATTCTTAAGGCGCTGGCCCAATGCAGGCTTGCTTTGCACGCATTGCTTACTTTAATTTGCTTTGATTTACTTCAAAAACTCGTTTGGCCAAATGGCGGCTTGGAACGCTGTCAAAGCAACCAGCTGTGTAGTTAAAAAGTCAAGGTCTGTTTCCTTACACTAAGAATAATTTTGCCATAAAATTCCAGAAAATTAAAAAAAAAAAAGAAATACAAAACAATTTTTTCAGATTTATTTTTAAATGAATGTGAATTAATTTTTGCATTTCAAAGGAATGGTAATTATTATACATACATATATAACTATATGTACATTTATTAAGAACAACAAACTAAAAAAAAAAAAATAGATTTTTCAAGAGACGACTTACCAGTAGTTTGACATCATAAATATCGCCAGCTTTGTGTGAAAAGTTGATAAGTCTACATTTTATGAAGCCTCAAATTTTGATATAGAGAGTAAGAGAAATTAAGGATTAAGGTACTTTTTTTAACAGAGATCTAATCCTTCTGATTTGTATGGAGTTTTGCTTTGCTTTAAACACGCAAAATGTTGTATTCAAAGTCCATGTAAAATTGTAAAACTGGACTTAGCAATTTTTCACTTTATGCCAGCGACATGTTAAATAGATTACTTTTTATTAAACTTTGAGTTACTAATATTATATGTACATATATTTTTTTTAAATTACGTAAGAAAATTTTTGTACATAAAAAGATGGAGCAGTTTGTTTGAATTGATTTAGAACGGGAACATATCTTTTTGTCAAAAGGCTACGAAACGCTTTCCAATAAAACTTTTACCTATTTGAAACTTTGAGGCGCTTAAAGCAAGTGAAGCAAAGCTGCCATTTGGCCACCCTTCATACGTTTTAGTATATTCCAAATAACTTTTGACAGTTCTCAAAGCGAAGCAAGCAAAGCAAGCCTGCATTGGGCCAGCGCCTTTATAACTTTTCGATTTTTTTTATAAAAATGTAGTTCATACTACACCAAAAATATCATATCCTCTATCAAGAATGCAAGAAGGAGCTACTACCGGCGTCTCAGTCCATATCTATCTCTCTTGCCTGGGTTCCCAGTCATAGGAATAAAGAAGGCAACGACAGAGCAGATGAATTGGCCAAGGCGAGTACAAGTTTGAAGTACATAGCTAGAAAACAAAGCGTTGATTTTTGCGGACGACGTTTTTATTTTCTTCCATACACAAAAAAAAAAAAAAAATCGAACATAATTTGTATGGAAGAAACTGCTTGCAAAAAATCCTTATCCTATTTTCTTTGTCGTAGTATCGTGAAACTATCTCAAAGATTTTAGTACCGGATTTTAGATATATGAGCAGTTTATTTTGAAAGTAGCATAAGTCACATTTTCAAAAAAAAAACATCGAGTTAATGATAACAACAATAAGAATTTAACGGTATCTCTCAATTAAAAAAAAAAAAGAAATTGCATTGGAAAATCAAGTTAATGATAATAAGGATTACACCGAGCAAAAATCAATTTTGCACAAAAAATATATATACACCCAAAACGTTTTTAGTTTCTCTCTCTGGCGTCATAATGTTTTAAGAGTACTTCGAAATTTCAAAGATTTGATTACTTCCAAAAATTATTTAAAAATTTCCGTGCTATATAGATTAACAATATGGGTACCAAATAAGAGATAATATTCTGTAGAATTGAAAAATATTAAAGTTGTTGCATAAGGGCGAAAAGGTATTGAAAATGTCCATTTAAAATTTTGTCTTTGAGTATCCTTGCTAATTTGCAGTAATTATTTTTGAAAAAATTGAAGGTTAAGGAATTTCGTCCTTCTAACATCTTCTTTGTTAATCAAAAACAATTTTAAGTTTTTTAAGTTCTAAATAAATTTCCTCTTTCATTTGGTACCCATATTTTTATTCTACATTGCATTGAATTTTTTTAATAATTTTTGGAATGAATCATATCTTTGAAATTACAATAAAATAAATCCTGACGTCAGAGAGAAAAAAGAAGTAGGTTTCAAACCCATTTATTTATTAATTATTTTATGGTAGGAGAGATAGAAGCAATTTTTCGATTTGAGTTGTTGAAAAGTAATGAATATTTAAGTCCCGGGATCCCAGGATTGTGATAACGACATCCCGAAAATCCCGGGATCGTAAAAAGCGAAAAAATTAACAGCCCTACTATACATCGTCTAGTTACATTTTCATGGGTAACATAACTTGCGGATACGTTTTTGGAAACCTTAAGAATTTAGATTCTTGAAATCAGTCACAAGATATAATATTCAGGAGTGCACGATGCTGTTCATTTGTCGCCTCGATACGGCATCACATTCAAGGCGCAGGTGCAATGGCGTCTCCTTAGTTGAGTCGCAGAAATGACACGAGATCATTCGAGCCGATTCCCAAGTAGGAAGTAGATGGTCTCTTAGCCTGCGGTGACCTGTAAGGATTCATGTAATGATTCTAAGCTTTTGTTTGAGGAGATTAACTGGAAGTTTGTGAAAGGTAGAGTTATATTAACAGCAACTATAACGGGTCATTTTGTTCTACTGTTTCCTTTATTACAATATATTTATATTTATTATGATTTTATTATCTATTATATAATTGTATAATTTCAGACTTCACCATGTCCGAATTTTACGAAGCACAAACTAAAATACAACAAAACTATAGGCTTCCCAGGACCATCGATAGTCGACAAGAAATCTTCAGTAATAATGACGCCCGCGATAGACATAGAAAATTATACTTATTTCGTGATATGATTGGGGCCAGCGTTAATTTGGCACTACGCGATAAATCCTGTTGCATGGATACAAGTTTCCTAAATCGTTTTTTATATGCAAAGAAATTCGATTGTGAAGCAGCTTTAGATTTACTTATTAAATATTTACTATACAAAGAGAATAATAAGCACATTTTACAAAAACTCAGTATTTTTGATGAAAACATACAGACTTCCTTAAGAGATGGTAATCCATCTGTACTGAAACAACGCGATCGCAAGGGGCGTAAGGTGTTAACATTTGCGGCCGCCAATTGGGATACAAATAAATATAGCATGGAGGATGTGTTCAGAGCATTGTTGCTATCATTGGATAAGCTATTGGAGAATGTTGAGAATCAAGCATTGGGATTTGTTGTTATTGTTGATTGGACGAATTTTACATATAAGCAATCAACGCATATCTCAGCGAAAACGCTTAAATTGATGATTGAAGGACTGCAGGTATGTACATATGTATGTTAGGTGGTAGATAACCTTAATCTTAATCTTCAATCACAACTTCATCGTCATATTCATCTTCATCATCGTCTTCAACTTTATCTGTATCTTAAGTTTTATCAGTATATTCATCTTCATCTTGATATTTGTGTATATTAACTTTTATTTTTGTAGCTTTATCTCTATCTTTGTTTTTATCTTTATCTTCTTTTAATGTTTATCTTTATAATGACGTTTGTCCTTATCCTTGACATTATTCTAATGTTCTTTTCATTTTTATAAGAATATTCATCTACATCTCTTAGCTTCCTCATCTTCTTCGTCTTTATCTTAGTGTCAATCTTATAGCTCATTTCCACCAAGTCTTAACAGCAGTTTATGCCTATTTTGCAAAAAGGAGATTACAACTCGAAAGGGGTAATTGCTCATATAAAGTACAGGTAATCGAAAGCAAAAAAGCAAAAATTAAGAAATAAATTTTGCTGATCACACCATGCTGACTTTTTTTTAACTTACCTGGACTCTTAACTGCACTTAAGCACTTAGTGGAAATGGTCTATTGCTCTTTGTCTGTATTTTAAAATCTGTTTTTATCTTTTTGATTGCTTGTGTTTCCGACATGGTAGGCATATGTAAATGTGTTTTATTATCGATTGATTTTCCGCCATCCCTTGCCAAATTTGGTTTGAAGACAAACGGGTTTCGGCGTTGTGCCATCTTCACAGCAGTTTTTCGTTCCCGAGGAAAATCGTTTGGCAATACATAGTTTCTCTTTGTCTTTATTGGTGTTGTTCTTGTTCTAGTGGCTACAACAACCCTACCCACATCGGCTAGTATCTCAGTCGTTGTCGTCAAGCTCAACTAACTGAAGACCTAAGAAGCGTGCAGCCTCTATAGGGTCCGTCCACAGGGTCAGAGGCGTTAGCTGTGTGGGGTTTTGTGGACATGCGAATAAATATTTCGAGTCGTGGGGTGTCGCTCCGCATGCCGGACACTCATCGGGCACATTTGCATCTTTGTATTTGTCGTTGCCTGGGACTGCGCCTTTGCCTTTGTCTTCAGTTTTGACTTTATCCTTATGCTTATTCTTGTCGTTATCTTTGCCTTTGTCTCTCCCTGCTCCCAGTGGCGTTCAACGCAGTCCTTAGTTTTTTTTTTCACTTGCCATTGGCCATATACCTCCTTCACGTGGCATTAAATATTTAACGCAAATATCTTTGAACCGTTTAAAAAGTTTCACCTAAAAAAAAAGAGACGACTTTTCAAAAAATATATTCAAAGGCTTATCTTTTTCTGGCGGGTCTGGCTGCTATTGCATAGAAAAAAATTGTTTGTTCAGACTAGTAATCGAACCTCGTTTTCTTCGATAAAAAAAAAAATATTTGCTTTTTTCGGTAACCGATAAGTTTGAACAGATCCAATCTACTTTGAGCTGTTAAATTACACACTGATGTGATATCTGACAGATATTATAGGGCGGCCATCAACTCGAACCTATTCACTATATTCTCAAGATTTTGCGTTATTTAACTTATATGCCTTAATTGGATACAAGTACGTGTAAATAGCCGTAGTCCTCTATATAGTAACTTCCGGTATGTATTCATTCATTATTCACCTAAATAAAATTATTCTTATATCAAATTTCATGTCTTCATATGTAGGCCGTGGTAATTAACAGAGCCGCTGGTACTGTAATCGGAAAATCTGTGTTTCGCTATCCAAAACTTTGGCCAATTATTACGGTTTCTATAGATGCATAACTGTCCGATATGTTGTTGTGTTATGTTTTATCTTACCGTTATTGGCAGTTCTTATCTATCGGCGTCCGCATACATACATATTTTTCAAAATCCGCGCCCGGGGAAAACACCCCTGACTCGCTTCCCTGCTGACGAGTCCGTATATTTTTCTACTACATGCATATGTACATAAGTATCCATACTCGAATGTTGCCTATGCAAAGACCAGAGGCGTATGCAGCTGTTTACCAAATCTCTTGAATATTTATCTATGGTTTTTGTCTGGTTTTAGAAATTTACAGTGTAATGCAGATCACCTGTTGTTTGCTAACTTTATTTTTGGTGAATCAGTTAATAGTTTTGTTTGTATTCTTCAAAAGCTAAAAACCGCTTCATATCTGAATATTAGGGTGCCGCTTATTTTAGCTATGCTTGACGAACCCTGTTCCTTCATACATACATACATTATTGTATTTACATACAAAGTATATTATTAATAGCTTCGGGTGTCATTTTTCTCCAATAAGTATTGTCCTAGTGACTGTGAGAAAAAAAATCTACGAGAAAAACGTGCTTTCTTTTTAAGTTGAAAAACAAGCATACCTGCATAAGTAGCCCCAGTAAAGTAGCATCGAAAGCTTCGAATATTTCGTAAATGGCGATTTCAGTATTTTTGCTGCTAAAAAGTGGATTGATTGATTATTCCTTTTTCTATATCTAAAAGTCACTGTTTTCGAAAACTTTTGCATTAAGCATCTGATTTTTTTCAATTAGCTGTATCTATGATTGATGAAAAACCAACAAATACTATAACATTTTTGTCAAAATTGGCAAAAAAAAGTTCCCGCAGTGAACTTCAAGAAAAAAAATTGTACTAGAAAAAAAATACATACCTATGTATGTATATGAAATGCAAAAAGCCGTAAACACAACAAATTTTTTACATAAAACGACGTGCAGACTTGTAATTCCATGAAATACATCATTATTAATCTTTCTTATTTTGATTTTTTTTTTCGAAAGTTCCATCTCAACCGAATTATGGCGATCAAAAATTCGTTTCTAAAATTTCTTCTTTGCTGGGAATAAAAATGGATGAGAACATTGGCAAACTTGGGAAAATAATTAAAAATTATTAAAGTAAAATCAACATTGTGGCGTCCCCGAAAAACGTCGGCGGCAAAAACGCTGGCGCCTCAATTATGAGCCATTCCATATGCCTTTGTGAGTTTTAATTTTGACAGCGGTTAACCGTCGACCACTTTACCGTTACGCTAGACCGTACCACCTTACAAGAATGAATTGTGTTTATTCGTTATTTTGAAGGGACAAAAAAAATTCTAAAAAATCTACGGTATTTTTTAGCCATTTGAAATTTGTAATTTAATCCACTAGAATTCAACGGGCTGAAAAATTGCGTACTCAGAATCTTTCTAGGAAATCTAATTAAAAATGCTCGAAACTTTTACGAAAGTTTGTTGAATTTTTTAAATATTGCCTAAAGCTTGAAACTTGTATATATACGGGTTTTGTTAAATAATGAACTATAGTTTTATAAGAAAAATAACCAAATTAAATAACAAAAAAATAATGTGTCAAAATGTGGTGCGGCTATAATATATCCGACCACTGTACATTCGGCAATATAAAAAATCTATTTAAAATAGTTCTACTCGAATAAGGAAAAGTTTAATAATTTTTGGCGAGCTTTAATTTACTGACATTAGGGTGGTACCTTACGGTGATAAGCACTGAGATCTGGTGCGAAAGTCCTAGAACGGGGTACTTAAGGTAAATCAACTTTGGAAGAAAAAAATGATCTTCGGCATAAGAACATCGATATAGCATGCTTTAAGATCCGACTATAAAAGCCGAAGATATGACGAAAGCTTCAAAAGGCAAAATAAACCGAAATTTCCTTGCAATAATCCTTTCGACTCAGAGGCGTACGGCGTACTTTTTTCTGGTATGGTCTAATATACATACAAAGAATTTCTTGCTCAAAGAATTTATAAAAGGGTTGAAACTACCTTTGTTTATATGGACTACAAAATATTTCAAAAAGAAATTTTAATTTATATAAAATAAACTGGACCATCCTAATGTAAATATGTATGTATGAGTTGTATGAACAATGTACATTATATATACATACATGTATGTACATTAGACTGCATCACCAAAAAAAGTTGCGGTTTTCCACCGGTATTACAAAATCTACTATATTTTAAGACGTCCACCAAAATATTTCGGAAAAGTATTAAGATTTAAGTGAGCTGGATACCTTCAAAAATGAATTTTTTTGTGAATGAAAATAGTTTCTTAAAGATCTTTTTTTGAAAAGATCCCCTCAAATAACAAAACGGTTTGAGCTTTAAAATTTGCATAAGAATATAAATATAAAAAATTTAAAAAAACTTTGAACTGAATCGTAATAATATGATTTTTGATGCTGTTTTTTAACCTTTTTCAAAGATTTGTATAAGAAAATTTGTATTCATAAAAAACTAAATTTTTTCCGAAATATTTTGGTGGACGTCCTAAAATCTAATAGATTTTATAATTCCAATGAAAACACAGTACCGACTTTTTTTTTGTATGGGAAGTGATGCAGTCTAATGTACATACATTTGTGCCCAGTGTAGTGCAAATATTAGTCAAATACATTTAAAATTTACTGCTTTTAGGGTACTTTAATATTTCATACCTACATATATTGCAAATATATACATAAGTACATACATATATACATACATATATACATACATATGTACATATATATGAGTGTGCAAAACTTTATCATTAAAATTTTATCGTATCATCTACATATTTGAATCCCAAGATATATCGAACATGCAGATGATGATACCAAATTTTGTTTCCACAAATGGGAAGGGCCAATTAGATAACGCTAGCTGATATTCGACAATATTAAATTCCGTGTCAAAAAGTATTATAGATATTGTATGTACATTTCTATATGCATGTGTTTGTACATATCTATGTAAATGAGTCATAACCCTGCAAAAAATGGGACTAATCCGAGATGACTCCGGGAGCAATCGCAAAGGAGCATGCGACTAATACCACATTTGATCTCTTTATATGGACTGAACTGTTCTCTTTTGTTCGAGCATGTCCTATGAAGAGACTAATTGTTCACCTTTATACCCGAACGGGTATAAAAAGCGACTATTCACTTTTAAAAAATAAAAATAAAAATTTGCGCCAGCTGAGATTCGAGCCGGGGCGCTCAGTTTTGTTAGGCGAATACTCTCTCTGTGTGCCAACGCCGCACATGAAATTTCATTTACTAAGTGCGTACATATCATTAAATCGTTAATAGTACCCGTTAGAGATGAGTCGGGGACTAATTGATCTCCAATTATACCCATAAGGGATGAGTCGAGACTAATTAACCTCCATTAGTACCCGAAAGAGACTAGTTGGGACTAATTAATGCCCAATTGTACCCGATTGAGAGTAATCTCGGAATACTCTCTTTAGAGATTAATCTCACAATTTTTTGCAGGGAAGTAGTATTTCTTGCAGTTATCGTGGCTGTCGAGAATGCTCAAAGAATTTATTAGCCGGAAGAAATAATAAGGACTGTAAAATTGGCTAATTTTATACTCATCGAGATTTTCGTAAGATATGTAAGAGCAAAAAAAAAGTCCGTTTTATGAAATTCCGCATGCGCAGCGTACAACAAAGCAAAGCGGAATATTCTCGATTGAGGTTTCGTCGCCTGGGAAATCGCGATTGAAGTTTGGAATGCAATTTATCAAAAACGCGAAGATAGATATTCCCCAAAGTCTCTGAAAATGTTACTAGTTCACAAAATTCTTAAATTATTTAATTTTTAATGTTTAATGTTAATTACCTTTGAGTTTATGAAGGATTCTTTAGTAAAATTTTGTCGTAAGCGTCATTTGTCCACAATTTGGCAGCCACATTGTATGAAATACGACAAAATGTGATCAAAATTTCTACTAAATTAACGACACTTTTTATTCAATATCTCGGAAACTAAAGGAGATATCCAAAAATGGAGAACGTCATTTCTAAGATATTGATTAGTTTAATATGGCTGCATCACTAACTAAATTTTTACTAAGTTATAGAAAAAATTGTAGTCAATATCTCGGAAACTAAAGGAGATATCTGAAAACTGATAACACCAATCGAAAGACCTTATTTCAAAATATATAACTGCGTCTAGAACTAAAAATCGTCAAAATTGCGCTTACGACAATCTTTTACCCAGGCGACGGTTTAGAAATTGGTTACATCAAATAGAATCGATTTGAATTGAATGAAAGGAAATTTAGTCGTGCACTTCGACGACATTCCAACAACCCGAAAAAAACTAGATAGCATCAATGTGACCTTTCAGCAGCGGATAAAAATAAACCGGCATGTGCTGCATATCGTACGATTTGAAATCGGTGCGATCTACAAAACTTATTTTGAAGATTTCTTAAAAATGGTCAAAAATTTGGTTCTATATCGAAGGATATATAATATATATATAATATATCATTTAGTGTTTCTAGCAGTTTTTATTTGAAATATGCGTTACTTGCATTAATTATAGCTCTGATCCAGTACTCCATGAACTTACAGGATTTTACACAAACTTGCAGGAAGTTGCAGTAAAAATGTTCCCGTACTCCAAAATCCTGTAAATGAGAGCGACTTTTCGAGAGTTGTGTAGAGAATGAAGTTGCAAGATTTTACCCGAACTTTTTCTTCTGGTAAAATTATGAAAAGTGTCAAGCAATCACTGGTTGACGTTTTTACAGGAAAAATGGTTTTTTTGTTCCCGTACTTTTGGTTGTTACTCACTTTTTACTCTCACTTCAGAGAGTAATTTTGCTGTTTGACAGTTTTACCGGATTTTTCACGAAAAGTATTGGATCAGAGCTTATATTAGGTGCATTCTCTATCATTTCTGACTAAAATATGAAAAGTGTCAAAATGCAAAAGCGTAAGGAAAATGCGCGCTCACTAAAAGAGAATAACAGGAAAAAGTAAAGGAACCCAAAAAAAACCCAATTTTTAGCCCAAAGAATGCCAACAACAAAACTAATGTCAAATAAAAACAGAAATGTATGTACAAAACATATTCACACAAGCACAAGCACAAGCTTATAGGCGGCATACACAGTGCGTCTGACTCGCGAGTCATTTGTGTACGTGTTGACTCGCCTTCGACTACACACAGTTGAATCATTCAGAGTAATGTCAGGATCCTGCAGTACGGGGGAGTGACTACAGGACTGCTGAATCGGTAGCTACCTGATAAACACCGTCAATTACCGACCGACTACTTGCAGTGTATTTCATCGATTACTTTTACAAGGCAATGTCCTAGGCGGTAGTCACCATCGGCTCTCTCTGCACTACCGGGAGTTACTAAAGTAGTCATTGGCGTGATTTATGGGCGCCCTCTGTCGTAGTTTTTCGCTATTCTGCTTACGACTGGTTCGACTCTGCACTACCATGTGCACTACCACGGGTTAATAGAGTAGCTACTTACCTAGGAGTCGGTGCAGGTGCGGTTCAATAGTAGCGATTGACTCCAGAAGTACTGGAGGGGAGTCATGTCGGTGTAACTAACACATATAAGTTGCGTTCGGGTACGCTTTCTGGTAAATTCCTGCAATTGTTGCAACTGCTTGCGAGTTAGGGAACGCAACTATTTTCACAAATACATCCCAACCAAGTCGGGCGCACCGTGTATGCTGAATAATTACGTACTATATCAATTATTTTTTGCCTCCTTCCATTTTCAATTCACTTTTTTTTTAGTTGTCAGATTATTCTCACTTTTCGTTTATTCTTTTATTTCAGTTAACTCAAATTCAGTTGAGTTTGACACTTTTCAAGATTTTGCCAGCAAAAATACTTCTAACTAAATCTGACTACTTCGGACTATTTCTGGGAGATAAGGAACGCAACTATTCTGTCTTATCCTGAGTTTCGCCCGAAAAAAAAATTCCCCGAAAAGTTTTCATCCGTCCCGAACCGGTTCACTTTGCACTTTTGGTTTCAATCAGCCTTATCATGAGTTTCCTTTTCCCCGAACCGGTTCACTTTGCACTCTTGGTTTCCATGGTTTTACTATGGACGGATGACAAATTTTCGGGTGAATTTTTTTTTTCGAGCGAAACTCAGGATAAGGCTTAATAAATGTGAGCTCACAAATATCCAGATTCCTCTAAAATTTTTATTTTATTTATGTAAATACATATGTTTGTAAATTTGAACGTTTATGAGAGTGTTAGTATGTTTGTTGTTCTTTCACGCTAAAACTGCTGCACATATTTCAATTAAGTTTAGCACACAAGTAGGGTATAACCCGGATTAACATATAGGATGGTTTTGAAGAGAGTTGCCAACTTTTTCAAAAGTTAAAATCAATCCATTAACAAGTTAAATAAAATATTACAACAAATATGTCAAACGAAAAGTGGTTAAAAATGCTTTGTGTCGAGAATATTTTTTTAAGATGGTTGCCACCTGTTTAAAGGGTTAAGATCAATTTAATTAACAAGTTAAACGAAATATTTTGATATGGGTATCAAACGAGAGAGGTTGAAGAAAGCTTTGTTTCAACAATATTTTTAAAGGGTGTTGACTCCGTTTAGAAATTCAAAATCAAATTAATTAACAAGTTATATAAAATATTTTAATGTGGGAATGTGTAATGACTGAGATTTTACGAAAGCTGTATCTATTTGGAGAATATTTTAATTAAGTATGAATTTAATAAATTTAAGTATGAAAGTTTGTGAGTGAGTTTGTGAAAAGGTGTGTTGGTTTTTCTTTAAATATAATTTGGCGTGCAGATAGCTTATGACCTGGATTAACATATAGCTATAATTCTGCTTTAAAGCTCAGTTATGCAAGACTTAGACTTGACTCCAGCATTTTTTGGAGTTAACTTCCAAGACTCTTGGGTCTCATTGCCTTTTTTCGGTTTGAGAATGTACGCGCCCTAGTATTCTCAACTCTTAATAGCTTTCCTTTAGAGTGCACCCTTTCTTTTTGGTATCTCGCATCATCACAAAAAAATCAACTATGATCAATATTTAAATTAATATTTTTTTACTAATTTCTATAATTTTTTATTACAGGATTGTATGCCAGTAAAATTCAAAGGAATTCATTTCATAGGACAACCTTGGTATGTGGATGTCGTTCTGCGAGTGATAAAACCTTTCTTAAATGAAAAAATAAAGCGACGTCTACTGGTACATGGCACCAATTTGACCACCTTACACAGCATGGTCAGTAAAGATATTTTACCACCCGATTTGGGTGGTGAGGGACCAGCTATTAATACACTAGACTGGTATCATTACCTATTGGAGTCTAGCCAGAATTGTGAATCGAGAAAGTCCTATAGACTTATTGAGGCGACTGTCTATTCAAAAACAGCGGATTGGCACAAACAGGATTCCGGATGTGAAGCGAAAAAAATCGAATCGAATGAAACTTTAATTGAAAATATCAACCAAATCTCATGACACTGTAGACTTTTACTTTTTATAATAAGAATTTCTAAAGAAAACCATTTGTATGTATTTTTTAAATAAGTTATGTGGAATGGGGTGTGGTTTCTTGGTTACTTACATAAATATGTACGTCATGCTATTAAATAATTATTTAAAAAATCCTAAACTGCTACAAATCGTTAACTACACTGTATTTAGTCAAGTCTGAAGAACCCTGGCTTTTACACGCCTTAAAAGTGTTTTAGTGATCTACATAAATATGTGTGTAAATATGTATGGTTAGCTCGCTGAATAATGTCGAAAATCCGCAAGAAATGAATCTGTGCACCCAAGTTCAACTAATGCACAGTGGTTCAGTCGGAGGTCAAAACTCAAAAATATGCACATCGTCTAACCTGTGATTGATTGACAGGCAATCAGTCATTACTTTACCCATTACCATTTACTTCATTACAGTCAAGGCATATTCAACAAGGTAGAAGTGACAATTCAGTCGAGCTCTCTCATACCTGACTGTAATGTCAAAAAATGTAAACAAAGAAATTAACCATTTGTTATGCATTTACCATATTTGATAGAACTCAACATCTTTGAAATGAAAGTTTTTGTAAATATGAAAATATTTAAAATCTCATTAGAATCAGCTTCATTTTATTTATTGAATTTTCTGTTTAATGTAAATGTGGAAATGCATACTTACACAAAATTTCATACTAAATGAAACACACTCATTTATAAAATCGTTTTGAAAATTTTCTGCTTTTACTATCCCAATTGAGCATATATTTTTTTATTCAAATACTTAATTCTAAAGTATATTAGACATTAAAAAAAGTTTGATTCTTCTAAATTTATATCAGAACTTAACTTAACTTAACTTCAATAATTTAGCTATTAAATTTTTGCTATTCGAAATTTCCTTTCCATTAAATTTATTAAAAATTACCTTCAGTCTCTTTATGTCAACAAGGAATACTGGTTTAGGTTTTATCAGACCACCATTTGAAATTTAGCCTATCCATGTATGTATATGAAAGGAAGATTTTCTTTTCATATTCGGTATGATAAATCCTGCACCTGGGACCAAACGCGTCCACTTTGAAATACTCGGCTGCGATAGACAACAAATAAAGTCACGACCACACGTGAAGGGTCTCCTAATGAAACATCGCAGCAATTTGCCCCCCGTTGTCGCTTCACTTGACAATTCGAAGGTTTAAAATAACGCACAAGTTTGTTGTCCAGGCTCTTGACAAACACAACGCACCGCTCGCAATTCCTTTTCATTTTATTATGTATTTAAAATCAGTTGCACAGCTCACAATTGAAAATTTATATAAAACAAAAAATTTTGAATAGTATAGGGTTAAGAGTTGACATTTCAGTCGCAGTTCAAAAGAGAGAAATGTCGAAATCCCTTCTACCTTGTTATGCCTTGATTACAGTGTAATTTTTTTTGCGATAAAACATTTTTTTAGATTACTTCTTCACTCTCGAAAGTTGACAAAACACATTTTCATTGTGAATCGTGTTTTCAGTGATTCAATACTTCTAACTTTTTTTTATGTTTATTTTACTCAAGTAACTCTGTAATGGAAATTCGAGACAAAAGTAAGTGCTCCTGTTTAGAACAATAATTATTATTATATTTATTAAAAGTTGTATTATTTATATCGGTTCGAAGCCAAGTCTATTTTGCCCTTAATTAATTTCTGTTTTATTTATTTATTTTTTTTAAAAAACCCTGCCACTCAGCGCCACACTTCATTAATTTTTTAATGAAAGCCCGTTTCCTGATGAGGTAGAGATTTGAAACTGCAAACTTAGCTCAGAACAGGGTAGCCAACTCATGTTTGACACTTCCACGATTTCGACAATGAATTCCACGATTTTGCCCGAAATTTCGTAAAATTCCCCTACCCATATCTCCTTATTTAATAAAAGAAATGTATGTATTTTGACATATAGCTGGTCTTTCTGTTTATTTAGTTTTTTATATGCTATTCATCTATTTATTCATAAACCAAACCAAAGGCTTATAGAGTTCTTTAACAAATAAAGAATAAAAAATGTACATATAATATTTACATACATACAGTGGTCGAAAACACTTCAGTCGACCCAAATTTTGACCAGTTTTCTCAATTATTTTTTTTTTTTGTTATTTCATTTATAGTTTATAGTTCATTCTTTAACAAAACCCGTGTAAATCCAAGTTTAAAACTTTGGTGCAATATTAAAAAAAAAAATTAACAAACTTTCTAGAAAGACTTTTGAAAGTTTTGTAGCCCACTCAATTCTAGTATAATAAGAAGCGAATTTCAATGGCAAATTTTTTTTTTTTAGAATTTTTTTTTGCGTAAGTGTTGCGGTTTTCTTCCATATAAAAATAAATTGTGTTTATTCGTTATATGAAAGCAAATGCGACAAAGAAAATTCTAAAAAATCAACGGTAATTTGTATGATTTGCAGGGTTGCATAACCAGTACTTTTAGTTGCAGTTGCATTTCTTATGCAACTTTTTTAAGTCTGTTCGCGTACGCACTCTCCAGTAAATCCAGTACTAATTTTATTGGTTTTTTACTGGATGTCGTTTTCGTACGCAAAAACTTGCAAGAAACTAGCAAAAGCGGGGGAATTGAGAGAACAAATGACAGCTGAACTTGTAAGTTTTACTGGATTTTTACTGGATAAATTTTTACTAGCAACTATTTGCTAGTAAGAAAAACAGCTGATGGCTTGATGCTTAATGTAATTCACATTAACAAAATAATTGTTTGTGATGCTTTTAGAGTTGCAATTGACAAAATAAAGCTATTTAAATATATAATAAGATGGAAAATACTAGTTTTCTAAGAAAATTACATCGGAAAATAACAAATTAATCAGCTGTTTATAAAGCTAGCAACTTCTTGCTGGTTTTGCGTTTTCGTACTTTCTTGCATATTTCAATCATTGGGAGTAAATATTGGCTTACTCTCCGAAATTTGGTTACTGGCAAGCTACTGGATATTTTTTGTTCATCCCCCGGTTCCCCACGTAAACTGAAATTCCCCACAAAAAAAAAAAACGGTTCTTTCCCCGATTCCCCACGCAAACTGAAACTCCCCGCAAATCGTGCAATTCCCCACGAATTGGCTTCCCTGGCGCAGAACCCGATGACAATGCAATATGAGAGATGCATTAACCCGCTAGGTGGCGCAGGTGTCGAGATATTTGAAAACCCGTATTTATGGTCCGATTCGGTTCATATTGATAACGTGGATTACTTAGATGGAAAAAATAAAAATTTCAAACTTTGTACAAAATTTAGGAAAATTCAACAAACTTTCATCAAAATTTATATTTAAAATGAATATTTAAAGAAAATCAGCATGTGAATGGTTGTTTGAGCTACTGTGTAAGTTATTGTACTACAAATACTAATTTAGCTTGCACACCCTATGAATTCAATGCAAATACAGTTATTACCATGTTTATATGAACTCATTTTCTTGTTTTTAGTTGAAATATAGCTTAAATTCAGCCGTACCACCATAGCTACAGCCTTTTAATACAATTCTATTTATTTTATAAAAAAACAAATTGTCGGCTCGTAAATTTTTCAAAATACAAACCCGTGAAATTTAGTGTTATTATATAGTAAAATATCGTGGAATTTGTACGTTTCGAAAATACCAATACATGAAGGTCAGCGTGGTTATTGCCCGATGTCAAAAAGTTGCAAGGAATTTTTGAATAGGGCTAACAGTAATGAGTGTACCAAGTTTGTAAGAAAACGGTTAAGCGGGTACACATATTTCATGATAAGTAGGCTTGACCACGCCCATTCAAAAAAAATTGATTTAATGCATTTTTTGCTTAAAATTCATTCATATAACAATTTTTAGTAATTTAGCTGCAGTAGTTACTTAAATATCGCAGTTTTTGTATTTTCCAAAAATACCGTTATTTGGAAGGCAAGCGCAGTTTTGATCCGATTTCATTACCAATCTAGCCTGGAGAAAGAGTAACAAGTGTAGGTACCAAATTTTATTGCGAAATATTATTTAGTTTCCGAGAAAATGAGTTTTGACCGTTGCTCCATAAAAAACAGGAAACGTTGTCTTTCGACGGGTTAGGACTATAGGGAAAGGTGAATGTCGCCTATGGCTGGCTGGACATCATGGTTGTGCAGTGTTAGTCTGCTTTCTGTCCGCAAGTTCGTCGAGATGATTTCGGAGGTTATTCTACTCCCAACAAGAATTGTTTGCTCTGCATAAAATTATGTTGGCCTTGCCATATAGGTAGGTGATGTTCAGGCGACATCAGAAGGCATCGTTGCTGTCCGGCCCAAATTGTAGATCAGGGGTTCTTAAACTTTTAAGATGATGGAACCCTTACTAAACACCTTTCATTTTATGGAACCGCACATCAAATTACAGTGCGATTTAAATATGAATAAAAACTTTTACTAGAAATAGTATACATACTTTAAATTTTAATGTGAAGAAAGAAATTGTGTCACTGTTACTAATTATTGTATAAAATAGTAGTTCGATATAATGTCTGAAAACTGCATGCGCATTTCTGGGGTAGCATCCAATTTCGACATGAATTTTTGTTTGTTTAAGTGTAAGCTGAAAACCCTGTTGGCAGAGTACGTTGTGAAAGAAGGAAGCAAAATTTCGATGGCCTTTTTAGCGACTTCATGATATTTACTCTTGCCATTAAATCAAAACTCTTTTAGAGACACAGATTCAAATGTGCGTTTCAATGTCAAAGTACTCTGGAGATCTATGAAGGCTTCGAAAATGGATTTTGTACCAAACCGATATTACTACTACCATCCGAAAAATAATCTGACTAAGATTTCAGGTGATTTACCAAGTGCCTAGTAATGACATTTCACATTTCATTTGGCAATTCATCGCGTTCCTTGTAGAAAGTTGTATATAACGTTTTAGCTACAGCGGTCAACAACACATACCGGTTAGAAAAAATAAGCTAGCAAGCGCAAGCTCAACGCTCTTATGTAGGTATGGCACTCAGTACGGTAATCATACAAACTACGAGTA